TCATTACGCGGGGAATTGATTCGTCTTGATGCGGTACGACTACGCGGGACGATGCTCGGTATTACCGGAGGACGACCAACCTAAGGCGGTACTATTACGCGGGTTGTGTCGTAGGTGGTAGGTGTTGAGCTTGAGGCGGTACCACTACGCGGGCAAGATGCACGGCCTGAGGCGGTACCATTACGTGGGCCCTAAAGTGTTGTTATGAGGTAGTCGTAGTGAACCTTTAGCAATTTTACAAAAGGCTGAAACCGTTGCTACAACCTAGACCTGTGAGATGATACTTGTTGATGAATGTAATTTACCTAATACTGTGGCGTCTAGTCGCATATTCCAAACCTGTGGGGTGTGATACCTATCGGTAGAAGTAATTTGCCTAATATTGTAGCTTCTGTTGGTACAATCTAGACCTGTGGGGTGATACTTGTCGGTGGAAGTAATTTGCCTAATGCTGCGGGTTCCGTTGGTACAACCCATACCTATGGGGTGATACCTATCGATGTAAGTAACTTGTCCCATATTGCGGCTTCCAAGTATGTTTTTCTAACTCTTAATCAATTGAACGGTGGAAATAATTTAGGCCAAGTAATCCCACCACCAGTGAGTATTTTACAAAGGCCTGAAAATCCTATCTACCCTGAACTTAGGGGGCAAGAAATGTGTCAACTTGCGAATCCTTATCAAGTGGCTGAACTTGTAGAGCTCATAATGTATATTTGATAAAGTGTTCGATCACGTCCATCTTTCATTTTATGCAGGTACAAAAGGCTTCACACACGTAAGAAACTTCAAGACTTGAAAGCATGAATTCGGGCATGTCTCTTTAGATACGATACGTGCCGCCATGAAATTGGAGCTTCCACCAATTCACATTTTTCCTAATTATTTTGGATAAAGTTATACATGTATTAGATATATTTATTTATGTATGGATTAACTGAGAATCCTCAAAGCCTCCAAAACTCCTTTTCCACAACTTCTTTGTGCACTGTGATCGATTGGCTTCATTCATCTTCTTTTATTCTTTTATTCTGTCCTTTCTGTCTTTTTTATCTTGGAATTATTCGGTTATTTGATTATTCATATACTTCGGGGGGGTTCCGATGGAATTGGATTAATGTAGTGGCCTTTTTCCTTTGTCAAAGAAATATTTTATTCATTTCCACGGATATACAATAGGATACGCAGTCCAACTGCAAATCAAGACAACAACACAAGTTCCAGATAAGAAGATGAATCATCAGAACAAGGTTATGGATCACACGCTCAAAGAGCAGATATGAGACTTCTCCGACTTTGGTTTGTAGTGGCCGTTTGGACAGAGTGAGAAATGTTGTGTTTTTTTTAGGGATAAATGCACTAAAAATCCTAAAACTTTTCATGAAAGTATAATTGAGTCATAAAACTTTCAAAAAAATGCAATCAAGTTTTAAAACTTGTCACAAAAGTGCAATCAAGTCTTAAAACTTTCAAAAAGTTTAATCAACGGAAGGACTTGATTGAATAAATTCGACAAGTTTTAAGACTCGATTACACTTTTTAAAAGTTTTAGGACTCAATTGTACCTTTATGATAAGTTTTAGGACTTAATTGCTCTTTTTAAAAATTTTAAAACTTAATTGCACTTTCATAACAAGTTTCAAAACTTCCAATGTACTTATTTTTTTTTATTAGTTACAAGGGAGGTGGCTAATCTAGTTTTGTGCAACATTGAAGTTGAGAGTTATCTTGAGCGCGAATCTGCAAAGCTAGGCTCTTTTAGCTTGAATTTTGCGTATTGAGCTTTTCCTTTATGTAGATGATCCGTCTAATTTCGAGCTACATCCACCGGGTATCGTAGTTCGGAAAGTGTGAAGAACCCGAGTTCACATGCCTCCACTGACAGCTGTTTTACTCAGGGCCCAAGTTATCTTTGGGTTAAATGAACTTAATGGACAAACCATACCGCGACTACATGGGCCTGTAGTGGGTACTTGGGGCTCTAAGAATGCTGAATCTTTCGTACTTCATACCGTTGGCAAGAAATACACAACTCTTGGTTGGGAATTTGGCAATTAGGAATTACATTCTTTACTCTGATTCTAGTGCTATGTATAGTGACTTCAGAACCGCTTCCTCCTCCAATTATGTTGCAGCCATTTATTTCATACACATTTGGAACCACTAAGAGTCAATTTGAATTTTTTTTTTTGCTACGTCCTCTATGCTTATTTCCAATGATACAACACTGAAGTGAGTTATCAGTATTATTTCCAATGATATATATGAGCGATCTGACTTTATGCGGATGAGAGGCTTATACTGTGGGTGATAATTCTGTGGGTACACATTTGGACATTGTGACCGTTGCTGTTCGGGGAATGAATTGGATGGGAGTGGATTTGGTACAAGAGTGGCAGCGAGTCAGTACACGTCCGATACCATTCATCTGAGGAACTTATAGTTGCACATTTACAAGAGTATCAAAGCCAAGCTTCATCCTAGCACCAGGAGGAAGCTATAATGCACTTCATTCAAGGAATACTTGGACAAGACCAAAAATCCTCAGATGCAATTACACTTCACATCTACAATCACGGTTCAGTTACCTTTTTTAGTTACTTTTCGACTACTTAATCATCTTGGATCTGAGACAATTTTTCCTGCTTGTAGGGGCATGATCAGCACCTTGTCGAAAGGATACTTAATCTGAAATATCCGACGGCATAGCTAAGACATTTACAAAGCTGCAAAACACAATTAAGTGTTCTTCTTGAAGCAGGAGGAGCTATCAACAAAAGTCCGATACCTTCATTTGAGAATATCGCTGAGAGGAAGTCCAAGTCTGAGCTCGTCAACATATGTAATTGAACCCACATTTACTCAAAAACTTAAGTCAATGAATTATGAGCCTAAAGTTCTACTAATTTCTTTGGTAAATTCAAAATATACCATTGGTAATTTTGTAATGTCTTGACATTATCTGGAATCGTTCATTGAGCGAGTTAATAAATTAACAACTACTGAGCCTTAGTAACCTTCTCTAACTTTTTTCACATTTTGTGCAATCGGTTTCTAGGAGACACATAAATGTTTGCATCAATCTCTGAAAGTATCTTAGGTTAGGCTAAAATTATCCTTCCCACGATACTTTTGTTTTAGGGTGACTACAACTCGAGCACGTGCTAATCTTGCACGTTTTAAGCACCTATAGAAAACCAAACCTCATCAGGCTAAATGGAGTTGGTTATCTGGATTTCATTACATCATTATTTTCCTGGCGTGCCCATCACATATTAGATCCTCAATGGGCTAAATGGAGTTAGTTTAGCAAATGATTGGAAACATGAATGCAGATTGACAAATTTGCCTTGGATGCCTTGCATGATGATGCCGAAATTCATCTGCAAAATTTGGAACCATGGATTCAGGTCGGACATCTTTATATTTCATTTTACGTTTGTGTCCAAAATTGGGAAGATAAAGATGTTTTTCTTATTGTAACTATGATAGTTTTTATACCCACGATGCCTTATGCTTTATCCATAGTGTATGCCATCTCTAAGAGTCGGCACTTCTCTACACCGAGTCTGTTAAGCTTGTTTACCTAATCTCTCCATTGAACCATGACACAAGGTCTTGCCACTGTGCATTGTTCTGTGAAGAGCTCGAGCTCTATCATTGATAGCTGTGGAATTCCTACTAAAACACTGTCGAAAGATCTGTTAGTTTGTTATTAGAGATAGCTTACACGGCAATTTTTGTTATTTAGCTCCTTTTGGACTTGATGGCATATCAAGAACAAGCCCTGCGACTTATTCTGGATCTCAGCAGTGCAGCCATTACCCTGCCAGTATGGTGCTGAGCTGGTTTTTCCTTCCAATTATCACAAATCAATTGTTGGGTTTTGTTCAATAGTGGTCTTTTGCAGTCTCATCCAGAGTTTGTATGGAGTAAAAAAAATTACAAGACTAAAAAGTAACAATTGCTGCTGACATTAGATACGGAAGGTGTTGCGGAAGTCAAGCGATCGAACAATAAATTTAACAGAACAAGAAAATAAATCGGACACCGGATTTATGTGATTCGGTCGTACTGACTTATGTCCACGGGGAGAGCAATACGGAATTTCACTGTAGATCAAGCGATACAACGAAGATTACAACCACACTCGAGTCACTCAAACACTCTAAGTATTTTCCAAGCCTCAATTACGCCCAATAGCTCACGCAGTGTTTAGCCCCATAATTCTTCACGAAATAATCTCTCAATCTCACGAAGGAATTGTATACAAATCTTACCATAAAATTTAATCGCTACTAACACTTGAATTCTTGATGTAATTCCACGAACAAAATCATGAACTCAATGCCAAGCACCCAGCACCTATGAATGATCCATGGCACTCAGAGAGAAAACGGCACTTCAAGAGGACTTATTCGTCAACAACGACGCACCCCCTCTGTGCGGCCAAAAACAGAACAGCCCGTATTTATGCTTAGGTTCCACGATCAATGTAGACTCCATGCAAATATACTTATTTCCTTTTTCGAATCCAACTTTCTCTGACGCACACGGCAAGAAGTCCCACAATTCCCTCTTTCACAGTCAAAGTCTTCCAGGCCAACGTTGGACTCAATTCTGCTGATTTCTTCCCGACTTCTACGGATAATCGTTGACCTTTTATTTTGCACTCATGTTGACCGAGACAAAGAAGAAGACTCTCTTAGACTTTCCTTTTTCAGTGGACAAATACTCCAACTCACGTTCGGAAAGCTAATTTCCAAAACTTGCCTTGAATTCTTCTTTTTTTTCATTTCTAAAATTTAGATTTTCGCTTCGAGCTCAAACTCGAGACATATTTTATCAGAAAGTCTCTTCAAAAAAGAGAAAGATGAGTGCGTATGGAGTAAAATGCATATTCAGACCTTCGAATTGACTCCGCAGCTCTGCATTCTGTGACTTTTGTAAAGCCAGTTTCATCGATAATTTGTGCATCTGCAAGCCGGATAACGGTGGACAAACAAGTAAATTAGCCTGAACATCTTATTCTCGAAATAGTTCGACAGAACCCGTATGCCCCATAGCTTCTCACAGGCGAGTGTTTACAGCTTTTGTGAACATTTTCATTGAACAGGTTACACAACACAACATCACATGCGTGACATGTTTGTTAACTCCAAAAGAATTCCTTGCCAGTCTCTAGAAAAGTAATGCAAACGATGAACAATATATAATTACATTGTTTGATTGTCAAGGAAAATTCTCTTGTAAAACAGGAATCATAGATGCTAAAAATGAGTTGTTACTAACTCCAGGATTGAGTCAATATTCAGTGGATGGGAATGGGGGATCATGCGTTTGGGTATTCCTCAACAACCTCGAAACCTCCTTGACGACCTGTTTCACAAGTACCCCTTCATGCCTGCCAGTTTCCAAATAACATTGAAGTAAGCTATGAGTAGTATGAGTTTCCAGTAATGGGATCAAATTAAGATTCTGATGGGAATGATGGAAGTAAGTACCCATTGGCGATTTTCTCCGATACCCATCCTTTGGAGCACCCAACCTCCTTGAGAGCATGCTCCCACCGCTCATAAGTACTTCCGTCGACAAGATCCCTATGCCGAAGCATCTTCTCACCAAAACAACCTGAGACGTGTTGCACAAGCGAGGGCTCCACTTTATAGAAGATGGGCAATATCTTTTGCCCCTTTGTTCTCTTGCATGCAACCATTTGAGCTAGCTCCTCCAGGCACCAAGGAGAGAAGGCAAAATTTTCAGAGAAAATTGGAATCGATATCTTACAGTGGTCAATAGCGTTGCTAATCTCGTCAGCAACACCTTTACCTACGAGGGACTGATCATCATCGTTAAACACTCTAATTCCGGCAGCCGCAAGGCTGATGTAGAGGTAAGCAGCGAGGCCGTATCGAGTATCAGGGCCACGAAAAGCCATGAACACTTGGCATTTATTTTCTCTTCTTTTCTCCACTAAATACTTAAAATACACTGCGATTCAACAAGACAAACCAAGTGATGATGATGAGATGTAACCAATACAAATCATATGAAATTTTCAAAAGACCAAGGTAAATTTTAAAAGCCACGAAGTCGATCTAGTTCATAAAACATGCGAACCTGACGTGCCTCCCCTTTAAAGGGAGGCGAAAGCTCTCACAGGATGAACATAGAGAATAATTATATACGAGAGGCGCTGAGCTCAAATGGAATGAGGACATACCTGATCTTATGGGGTAATTAGACGCCAATATAGGAGATAGAGGGAGCCATTCGATCCACGTCGTCTTCAATTCACTCGAAACCTTTGCGACCACCAATTTCACAAGCTCTCCTTCATGCCTGCCCGCATATATGTAAAACCAAAGTTAGGTATACAATTCGATTCCTTCTTCCCCTAACTCTGCTATCATTCCCATCCAAGTGCACAGAGGGTCAAATTCAGATTTGTGATGGATATCGATTCATAGATTCGTAACTAATTGCATATCACATACATACTTACCCATTAGCAATGGCGTAGGATATCCATCCTCTAATCCACGTAACAAAAAACAGCGATGTCACCCATTTCTGCAATTCTTCCGAGCTGCACTGCCTCTCGTGTTCGCTTAGAGCCTTTTTAAAGTTACCAAGTTGGCGACGTACGTCATAAACATTTACCTTATAGAATACAGGGAAGACTGATTGGCCTTGCTTTCTGTGGCATTCCATAATCTCGGCGAGCTCACGGAGGCACGATTTACTCTGCGCATACTGTTCGGAGATGATGGGGATCGCAATCCTACAACTCCTGATGGCCCGGAGAAGCTCCGGGCCTATCTCCTCGCCGACAGGGAGCGCATCGTCGTCCCTGAACACGTGGACCCCAGCAGCAACCAGACTGTTGTAGAGGAAATCGGTGAAGCCGGTGCGAGTGTCTCCGCCTCTGAAGCTCAAGAACACATCGTAGCTCCGAGGGGCTTCCCTTGCTTTCTCCTGCAGGAATCTGAAAGCGTACACGGCCAGAAGGGCTAGAAGTAGAACAATTGCTAAGTCATACATTTTCTCTCAGTTCGTAACGTTCCTAACTATGTCTTCTTTCAGAGCTTTATCTCATTCAGGACTCGATGCTTTCAATATTCAAGTCATTGCTTTCGTCCACCTTCACAAATCTCAAAAGAGCCTCACCGTCAAAGTTGACCATATCGCACAATTTTTTTTAATTCGTCTTCTTGACTATTTCAAAGGCTGTATATACTATTCTTCCCTAGAATTTGAGGCTTGTCATAAGTTGACTTGGTTTAAATTTTCCCTGATCGTTTTGTTTAAAAGAAAACAACGATGATAAGGGCAACTTTTGAGAGCAAAAATGAATTTGCATGAGATAAGCTAACTGGATATATAATTATCCAAAAAGGATACCACAGTGAGCTGGTTTTGGTGGCTAAAATGGTTTTGCTAGTGATGCTCTGATCATACTAAGTTGATTTGATGGATAAATTTGTATAGGTCATGGTGATTTTCTGAATGTGGTTGTAATTTCTTTAGTAAATTCAAAATCATTTCATTAGTAACTTCGTAAATGTCCTAACGACTCGCGGATTACTTAAAATCGTCCATTGAGCAAGTTAATATTCAATCAAAACACCTATAGCTCACGAGCCATAGTAACATTCTGTAACTTCGTCAATATGTATCCTTCTTCTTAACCGGTGAGGCATTGAAAAATGATATAAAAAATAAATGTTTGCATCAACTTCTGAAAACATCCTAAGTTAGACTGAAATCATCCTTCCCACATTTTCTTTGTTTCCTGATACATAATTTATTATTGCCTTAAAAGAAATGCTTGCACGTCCCCTGATTGCATAATGGTGATTATAATATATAGTGCATTAGAGTTCAATTGAATAATGCCACGACCTTTGCGTTACCCTTATCTTACAAAACCATGAATGCACCACATTCCCATCAATGGTATTCTACTTCCTTGTTAAATTCACCAAATGGGTACTATCTTAGTGAATTTCATTTATAATTGGATAACTGAGAGTCATAGGAGCACATGATCTTGAAAGTCATCTCTATTCGAGGATGACTTGAGAATATTGGCTTCGGTTTCTTTTTTCCCTTTTTTTGTGGATTTTGTTGGATATGTTCGATTTAGGATGTATCCGACAAAAGAGTGATTATATGATGCGGACGGAAAAGAGTGAATATATGTTTAGGAGCATATTATACTAATGTTGCTATGAAATGCAAGAATATTTACTAAATCGGTCCTAAATCTATTATATAAATGTCAATTCGATATTAAAATTTTCAATTTTGTCAATGTAGTCTTCAACATTTACGTAAAATTTTAATGTAATCCTCTTAGACAATTGCAGTTGGAATTGGACTGGGTGTCTAGCTATCGCCGGCCATCTTACGTGGCAACTGACATGGACAACTTTACTTGAAATGACATTCTGCGTGGATAGCTGTGTCAGCGATTTCTAGCGGTAAGTTACGAGGACTACATTGGTAAATTGGATAGCTAAGAATTAAATTGATATTCAACGGTCCCTAAACTTTTGCCCGATGTATAATGTGATTCTTGAACTTTTAATTTGTTTAATGTCATCGCTGAAATTTTGATACATGTTCAATGTAGTCCCTCAACTATGTATCAAAAGTCTAGAGACAACAATGATCATTAGTGTAAAGTTCAGGGACTACATTGAACAAATTAAAAGTTCATAGATCAAATTAAAATTCATGGATTATTTGTGTCATTATTTCTAATTTAATCAAGAGTGAGAGGTGAAATTCGGGAAAGTTGGGAAAAAAATTTGGTCAAAAGAAATTTGAAAATTGAGTTCAGAAAATTTTGGACAAAAAATGCTCCTGTTCGTGAGAGGTGAAATTCGGGAAAGTTGGGAAAAAAAATTGGTCAAAAGAAATTTGAAAATTGAGCTCAGAAAATTTTGGACCAAAAATGCTCCTATTTATGGCACGGCACATGCACGCGGTCTTGTACGGTGAAGATTTGTATCCACGGATTAATTGAGACGAAATCACCAACATCAGGCGCTTATTTGAGACGCATACTATTCTCGAAGTTATTTTGCGAAAAATGTCCTGATTGATTATGTTGCCCCTCTTTTTTTGTTTTTAAGATGGTCTTCTTGACTATTCAAAGGGTGGATGCTCGTCATAATTTGACTCATGATTTTTTAAGAGCAACTCTTGAGAGCAAAATTAATTTGCACGAAGTAAAGTCAAAATTATAATGTCAGTAACTCTATAAATGTCATAACAACTCATTGATTATTTGAAATCAGTCTTATTGAGCAAGTCAACGTTGGATCGAAACAACTTACAACTAACGAGTCCTAGTAACATTTTCAAAATTTATCAACAACGCTTTTGCATCATTCTGCCTGATCGGATTCTACTTCTTAATTGGAGAGACATCGAAACATGACGTAGAAAATAAATGTCTATATCGATTTTTTTAAAAAAATATCCCTGAGTTAAACCAAATCTTACCACACTAAATAATGTTGGCTACATGAATCTAACCCTCATATTGATTGAACCGGCGCATCTCGTGTGTCTTTTTCTCCGGTCCATCTTGATTGAACCGGCGGTTGTTATGAACATCCAAGTGGGTCCCCACTTCTCTGTTTCCCCGCATTACGCCGGCATAAACTCCGCCTGTCTCTCCCTCTCTCCTCCTCGCCGCCGGCCGGTCCTCGGAGCGCTTCATCATCCTCCTCGCCGGAGCTTGCTTCGCCGGCCACGCGATCATTCTCCGCCTCGCGGCTTATCCTCTCGGTGGGGGGCGACGGCGACGGCGGCTGTAAGCAGATGGAGGGGTGGAAATAGCGGCCCCGACAGTAAAGTCTAAACCCCTCGAAAAACCCAGGAAGGAGCCGCCCCTGAGAATGTCTGCCTCCTTCACAGCATCTTCAATCCTCCCTCAGAATCTGCTCTTTCCGGTAAAGTTCCTCTTTTTCTTTTGTTTTCCCTCAATTTCTTCATGCCCTTTTACGAATTATACCTCTTTGGATTGAGATTTAAGAATTGGGCGCTGCTCACTGCTCAGAATCTGAGTGGAAATAGGAGGAGGGAGTTGGGTCTATGGAGAAACGGGCAAACAGTTGGGAACTTTGTGGTAAGAGCAGGTCCAAAGAAGATATCTTTTGGCAAGGAATGCAGAGAGGCTCTTCAATCTGGGATTGATAAATTAGCTGATGCTGTTTCTGTTACTATCGGACCTAGAGGTGTGTGGACTCTTCTCTTTCTTCTTCTTCCGAAACTCCTGTTTCAGTCATTTTAATCTTGGAACTATTTGTTCATCTGATTAGTTATGTATTATGGGGATTGAGATGGAATTGGTCTTAATGTAGTGGCCGTTTGGACAGAGTGAGAGATATTGTGTTTTTGCTTATTAGTAGTGAGGGTGCTGGCTGGTCTAGTTTTGTGCAACATTGGAGTTGAGAACTATCTTGAAGGCGTATGTGCAGAATTGTGCTCATCCAGCTCGAGTTTAGCGTATGAACTTTTCCTTTTGTCAAGGGGGCAATGCTAGATGCTCCGAACTTTTCATTCCTACATTCGAAGCTGACTGACCTGTCTTGCTTTCCAGATTCCATTGTAATTCTTTTCTTCATTTTCCTTTTTGTTGCTTCAGTGCTTATTCTTCACCATGATCTATTATATATCCTATTCACAGAAGATAGTTATTTGACAAAGCACGCACACAATTGAGTTGTTTTGATTGTGATGGGAAATAATTATAGATAGAACGCAGTCCCCTTGTTAGAAAATGTAATTTCTTGAATATATGGATACTTTACAGTACCATACATAAGATCTATGAAAATTACTTTTAGGGCATGCTAATCTAGAGGCACAACAAGTGTTTCTATAATCTTTTTCTGGAAGTACACTTACAAACTCATGCATATTTAATATGCATTTAGGGTCAATTTGACATAGTCTATTTACTTATTTTTACTGTCCAAAATGTTGAACCCAGCAATATAACTAATTAGACAAGCTCTGTTGATTGTTCTATAGCATGTCGTGGAAAACAGTTTTTAGGAAAATATTTCAGCATTTAGCATTTGTACTCATTAAAATAATTGACAACTCTCATGTTCATGGCATAATAGTGTGATGCTACATATAATCCTATTGCAACTTTGAAACTCGAAGATGACATGTTTTTAAGCATGAACCATGACATGTTTGACAAGTTTTGAAAATAGGTTCTTGTAAATAAATTTGTAAAATTTTTTATTATGTGCATCAATATGTCACACATCAATATGTAAATGTGTATAATGTGTCATGTTGATAGTAGATTATTGACTTTTTCACCAACATTCCCAAATGTGTTTAAATGGGTTGGCCCACTATGACACTCATTCTTTTGTCTAATCCAACCCCATTTGACATAATGCATTTTAAACACTTTGTAGTATGGAGGAGAAAGTTCAAAATGAAGAGAGACAATGGATGCCAAAAAGTAGAAGTCTGATGTTAGTCTTCCATAGGACAACCAAGGTTACACTTATAAAAGTGCTTAGTCAGTTTCGGCTTATGGAGCCAGATGATTTATCAATTTTCTTCTCAATGAAATATGCTTAGTCAAGAATTATAAAGAATATCAATACAATTCTGGTGGATTTTGTTTTTCTTTTATGTTATTGATATATTTAGTGGTACAAGAAAGCGCTTTTAAAGGAAAATTCCTCACAACGAAAAAATATAAATTTGTCTGATCAGTTATTCCTCTACCAACTGGAGTATAGATTTACGTTTTTTCCAGTTATGTTCAGATTAGTGGATCGATTCTACTATTATGGCCTAATTGATTTATTTAATTTCTCTTTACTTCAGGACGTAATGTTGTCCTCTCGGAGTCCGAATCTCTGAAAGTAATAAATGACGGTGTCACGATTGCCCGAGCAATAGAACTTTCAGATGCAACCGAGAATGCCGGGGCAATGTTAGTCCAAGAGGTCATTCATGGTTGATATTTAATTCTCTCCAGAAGCTTGCTCTCATGCTTAACTCTTCAAATTCTGTTTTTATGCTCAAATGTATATATTTCCAGGTAGCTGGCCGCATGAATGACTTGGCTGGTGATGGCACA